TCTTTCAGTGCCTGGTGGATGTGTCTGTGCTAGTTTTTGTGTGTGTTAAGTCGCGCGTAGACGACGAGGACGACATTGCCATGGTGCGGTCATGAATCATGCCAAAAAATTGCAGTCACCGTCGAGGATGGTGACCCAAATTCCCGCTCCCACTTCCACAGCCACATCCACATCCACATCCATTTCTACATCCACATCCACATCCACATCCACATCCACATCCACATCCACTCCCACTGCCACTGCCACTTCCATTTGCACTGGCAAGTCTCCTGCCAGACTCTTGGGTTCCTGGGCTCTCCGAGAATCGGATTCCGAGTCGTTGTGGCACGTTGATTGTGGTGGCTGCTGCAAACTGGGGAAACTGGGGAAACTGGGGACACTGGCTGCTGGTCGTCGCTCCACTTGAGGCAACCCAGCAACCCAGACGTCGAACGAAGGACAAACGATGGACGCCATGGCCATGGAGACGGTGCGACTATCACAACTGAGACGAAGATGAGGATGAAGATGAGGATGAGGATGAGGATGAGGATGCGGATGAGGAGGACAGACCAAACCAGAAGCGCCTGGTTCCACAACTGCCACTTCTCCCAATGCTGCTGCAGTGAATTTGCCGCACTGCCTCAGCAAAAAGTGGGCGTTCTCCAGCTCACTCACTTACCGAAGCACTGGCAAAAATAATAATATAGCTCTGATTGCCTTATTAAGGAAATCAAAAATAAAAATACACGTAATGTTTTGTAGAACAAGTATTAAAATAAATAAATAAGTTATTCCTAAAATCTATTTTGTTACTACTTACAATTTAAAATATTTCATAGTTCTTAGCTATTCAAAACTTTTTATAAAATAAATATTGGGAGCTGACTTTTCTAGGAATTGCTTTCTATCTTTCCTATCTATTTTTTGCTTACGATTTAAAATATTTCATAGTTCTTAGCTGTTCAAAAATTGTATAAAAAATATTTGGCAACTGGCTTTCGTAGAAATTGCTTTCATTTCTTTGCGTTTCGCAAGTATTTCAATTTACTTTCAAATTAATATTTTATTCTCAGTACATAGGGACTTGAGAAGGGCGTCGACACGCCCCATTTTTGCAAGTGCCATCGTTGTAGTTGTTATTTTTGTTGTTGTTGTTGTTGTAGTTGTCGTCATCGTTCCCATCGTCAACGTTGTCGGTGGCACTTCACTTTTCTATATTAGCGCCACGTAAGTGCAGCCGCAGGGGCGTGGCAATTGCATTAGCGAAGGACGCAAAGGGGGGCAAAGGGGGGCAAAAGGGGGGGCAAAGGAGGCAAAGGGGATAATGGGCGTTGGAGGACATTAGTATCGCAGTAGATAAAGTGGTTGGAAGTGAAAAATTATGCGAAGATGCAATGTTAACAGACGGACAATGGTGAGCTTCAAATACCCTCGCTTATTCTCCATAATATAATTGATTTAATAAAAATAGTTATGTAGTTATTACAGTAAAAAAGCCAAGGAAAACTCCGGAAAATGTAACTTTTCAAATAACTATTTTCGTTTGTTGCTTTTCCCATGAGAAATGAGTTGAATTTCAATTCATTGAATTCCACATTCGGTAAATAAAGTCTCCATGGACGCAGGCGAACTCAAAGTGCAATTTATTGTACATCATTTGGCGAAATTCTTTATAACAACATGCAATGAATTTATCAACCCGACGAAGTATAACGCTCGAGGGCAACACACACACACACACACACGCACACACATTTCGTGTGTGTGTAATATATGCCGCAAAGTTATAGTTTGTCCTTTGACCCGCCGATTGAAATAAGTTGTCGTGGAATAAGAAGTAGACGTCGACTGTCGTTTGAAACCAACAAAAAACAAATAAAAATACAGAGGGTGTTGGACAGAGTCCTCTTGCACTGATAAAAAAATTTTAAAAATAAAAACTTATTTGTGAAAAAACAGAAATAATTTTAAGGTTCCAAAACTCATATTCCAAAAATTGTTTTATATTATAACAGGCTTAGTTTTTGAATTTGATTTACTTTCCTTTTTCTAAGTGTACGTTTTTGGTGTAAGTTGCAATTACATGTGTGTGAGTGCGTGCGTGTGTGTGTGTACGTGTGTGTGGCCCGTTTAATGGCCACAAAGCGGAAACTGGAGCGTGGCTGCTTCTCCGTCTTCTTCGGCTGATGCAGCTGCATTAGCAGCCATTTGCAGCAGCCATTGATGCCACCATTGCATATGTGTTTGTGTTTGTTGGTTGATCTTCCCTCTCGCTTTAGCCTCAGCTTACTCTCTCTCCCCATCTCGCTCACGTAGTAGTTTACTGCCATTTATATTTATGTTTGCCGGGATGCCTTGACATGAAAAATTGTGTTGCCCGCTTTTGGGCGCTGCTTTCTGATTCGGTTTCGTTCGTTCGCTTGGCGTTCCTTCTTTTTTTTTCCGGTCGCTTTTTGGCGGTTTTTGAGGGGAGGGGGAGGGACTCCTTCCGGGGGATCCCCACACACCGAAGTCACCGCGGACTGGTGGCCCTAAGGCCAGTCAGCAGACAGCCAGGAAGCTTTTCGAGCGCAATTTATGGCTTTTTAAATCGAAAGAAATTCAATGCTTGTTTAAGAAGAACGAGCGCAATGGAGAAGCGAACGCCCCAAAACAAATTTCGAGATTTATGTTTACCCCATAGCAGTGCTTATTTCGTACTTCGCCTTTATATCATCTATTATTTCTCTGTTGGCTTTTGTTTTTTTGTAGCCCAAGTGGCCCTAATTGTTCCGCAGAAAAATTGAAGATTTGTTTTGAAAAATGCATAAGCTTAATAGCCACAGAATATCAGATTGCTGTTTACTCACTTCTGCTAATTTAGTAAGTAAATCCGACTGTTATATCTGAAATTATACATTTGCCAGCCACTTGAACCCGCAAATACGCGCCTTGGCATAAATGATTCCAGCTGAAATGGTCCATTTGAATGGTGATTAATGTGGGTTCAATTTATTTTGCTCCGCACAAATAGTTGTCGCACAGCACATATGTTTCTGTCAAGGATCAGTGGTGCTTGAAAATACTACCAAATTGCTGTGGCCGAGGGCAAGCGGTTCCTTTTGTGCGCCTCCGGTTCGATTTTGGCCAAGGAGTGAAAGTGGAAAGTCGAAAGTGGAAAGTGGCAAGTGGATATGGATGTTGATACAGTGAATACATGGTGAGGGGGACCATTAAATGCTGGCTGGCTGGCCTTGGTTGACGCGACGCGACGCGATGCGCATAAAAAATGGAAAATCAAATCGGCAAAACACGCACAAAAGGCGTTGGCCAGCCCAAAAGTGGGTGGCAAAAAATACAAAAAAAAAAAATTGCAGAGAAGAAAAAAAAACGGACCAAGAATATGGGAAAAAGGCAGGCTTAGTTCGCAATCAATGCGTTGGTGGCCAAGAAGCGGGGGAGGCTGCTTTGATTGTGGGCGTGGCTGCCTTGTGCCACTTTCGGCTGTGCAGCCAAACACACACACACAACACACACAGATACACTATGAGAGACAGATACACACACACACACAGAGATACGGGGGCACAGATACAGATACAAAGCTGCGGCCTCATTTTGCGGACGCCAAATAGAACTAAAACTGAAACTGAATCTGAAACTGAGACGAAAAGCCGAAGCCAGTGCTAAAAACGAAAAACGAAGGGGCAACCGGACGGACGGACGGACAGACCATTGTCCTTCGTCCCTTCTCGGCTGCATTAGCCAACTCATCCCGTTACGCTCTCGCCACTTTCCATTTCAAGCCAACTAAATGTCGGCTTAAACCCACCCGCTTTTCGGCCCACCTTTTTTCGGCGAAAGCGGCTTCCTTAAACTCACCACGCGACCTTCGCAGAAAAAGTGGAGAAGCACAAACAATTTAAGGAAATAGCAAAAGATAACATTATAAAGAAAGTATTATATTTAAAGGATAAATACTATACGAAAAAAAATATAAGCTAGTGACAAAATCGCATCGCAAACAAAGGGTATAGAAAATTTTGCGGCCACAAGCGGTTGCATTAATCCCAATTCCCAATCGCCTCTATCAAGTGATTTTTATTTTTGTTTCATTTGTTATTCCTTTTTATTCGCCAGCCGACAGACAGTGTGTGTCGTTTTTTGTTGTTTTTTTTTTTTTTTTTTTTTTTTTCTGCTCTTTCTGCGGCAATTGCCAAAATCCAAATTAAGCTTTGGCAATAAAGCCTGGCACAGACAATAACATCTAACCTCGGTCCTGGAAAGCCCCTGCAGGATCCTCATCATCCTAGCCAGCGATTGTTTTGCTGTCCCACTTCTTTGTTACACCCAAAAAAAAAGGGGCTATCCAAAATGCATATGCTAAATCTTTAAAAATGTTGCGATTATATCAAGAGATAATTTGTAGTTCGCCTCTCTAATTCCTCTAATAAAGAAATATAAATCAAAACATAATTTTTAAATACTCTTGATAAGATCATAAATAAATACAAATAGTATTTCATCAGGAATAACTGATCATTTCATATTTATCTCCATCTATGCCTATTATTACTGTCATTAGTAGTTTAGGGGATGTACATATTTTTTTTCGAGTGCACCTTGGTCCTTTCCTCCCGGCTCCGCCCTCACAACTAACTCAAAGCACTCGAGCGCCTCAATGGACACACGGATACGCAGAATTGGCGAGGGGTGGGGTTTACGGGGGAGGGGGAGCGGAAAGGGGGGAGGGGGGGGTCCAAAGCCGGCGGAACTTGGAGAATGTTTTGAGTGTTGAGAGGATGTCGGGCGAATGTCATGCGATTGTTTTGTGTTGCGTTGTGTTGCGAGTCCTTGCCTTTCGACGGGCTTTGTTTGAATGACACTCGAATCGAGGGGATTCGTTTGGCGGGCGGGGAAAACGGATTCGGGTTCGGATTGTGGCTTGGGACTGGGAATGGGAATGGGGAGCTCGCTTATACGAGTGGCTAGGCCAAACAAGATTGGGTCGAGGCTAATAAATACGAGCCACTTACTTGATATAAATGAAAGCACAAGAATCATATCTATGGTCACTTGAAACCACTTCATCTCATTTCCCTCTGCACGCTTCTCTTGCCTGTGCTGCGGTGGTGCGTTGATGGATCTGCCCTCTATATATATCTATATATATATATATGTGTGTGTATATATATATATACGTTGGATATATATAATAATGCTGGGGCTCCTGTTTCGATATATTTCCAGAGACCAGATTTCAAGGCGCAGGCGCAGCTGTCGCTGTTGGAAAAGTGAACTTTCTCTTCATGTGTTGTTGCTGTTGTTGTTGTTGTTGTGGATTTAGCTTATTGTTGTTGCTGTGCTTGTGCGTTTTATGCATCTCAGTTGCGGTTTTTGTTCGCAGTGTTGTCCTCAAATTGGCAGCATTTATTTACATCGATTATTATTCTGGGTATCGCTTTCATCACGCTTCCCCACTTCATAGTAAATATAACATATTTCTCCTCTATATTTCAATATATCTATATATCTATATATATACTCGTATATATATATATATATATGTTAATGCATGTACGTTTTGGTTTACTAGGTATATAAATATATTTGTAAATATATTTGTTTCTTGGCAGTTTTCGATTAAAATTCTTCAAATGTGTGTGTTTATTTTTTGGTGGCCTCCTCTCGGCTTTGCCTTTGCCTTTGTTTTTCTTTTGCTCCTTGTTGTTTGTTGTCCTCGTTGTCCTTTTGCTTTTGGTTTTGCTTTAGCTTCGCATCGCCTCATTCCCGCGCTTCCTCCATCTCCATCTGCTCCTTATTCCTTATAATATATCCTTATATTGTTGAGTGGCAGGGAAAGAGAGGAGGGGGGTGTGAACAGAGAGAGTCCTGGAAGAAAGGACACATTTAATTAGTGCTTTCATTAAATACAAAAATTTCTTTTCATTTCTCTGGCGAAATGTATGAGCGCGCATTTTTTTTTCACCATTTGTGGTAATTTATGAATAAGCAGGGGAGCAAAGGACACCCAAAGAGTTAAGGAACATTGCGAAATAAATATTTTCGAGCACAGGATATCATAAATTGTAATAATTTGTACAAGCCAAGCATATATTTTAACTATTTCAAGGGGAAGTTTTACCTGCAAGATTTCAACAAATACTATTTCCATTTCCCCTAATTCATTTTTCCCTTTTAAAATAAGGAGACATGGGAAAATTTGCTTGTGATTTATTAGACTTTGCCCTTCCTTTTCCTTTCGCATATTTTCTTATTCCAACTCATCCGCTTCCTGTTCGAAGAACAATAAAGTTTTCAGTCCCGGCAGAAAATCCCAAATAAATTTTCCCTCTTAGGACTTTCCTTATTTTTCTGTTTATGCAAATTGATTTTAATTATAATTTTCTGTTCTCGCCGCTGACCCAAATTGGATTGTTTGAAATGAATATATAGTATATACATATATATATATATGAATAAGGAATATATTTTGAGTCTTGGGCCACAAACATTTTGTGAATTTTAATTGCTAATTTTGCGTAATTCATTTATCCCGGATCTAAAGGTATCCCACGGCATTCTCTCAGAAAGTTTTTGTTTTTGGACCGAGCGTCCTTTGGGTCTGTTAATTTAATTAATAACTCTGCAAGGAACTTGACAAGCGAGTGTCCCCTTTTTTTGTTGTCTTGGCATGGGATAATCTGGAAAGTCCTTTGAGCAGCTGAGTGATTGCCCAACTTTAAATCTTAAGACCTTCTAAGTGCATTTTAATTGGACCTGTTTTGTAGCTTGTGTTTTTCAATTAAATTTAATATACTTTCGGAGAGGAATAAAACTCATTTAAATATTTTTTTCTACACAATTTAGTGGAATACATAGCACTTAAATTTTAATCAAAGTTATTGCCTAGGAAAATCAATAGGATGCTCTTGAAATATCCGGCTGTCGCCTTTGAACTTGATTTATTTCCGAAAAGCAAAACTGTCGTGCAGCGTTTGGAATAAATAAACGTGACATGACATTGATGGCCCGAAATTCCATACGGAATATAGCAAATTTTATGATAGTTTGCAGTTAAATGGTTTCTTAAATAACTATTTAATACTGAGTTTTTAATGGAAGAATCGCATTTGATTAAATTGTTATTACTTTGTCTAGAACTCGAATTTAAAATTGTAAGCCAAATGCTTTTCCCTAATTTAATCCACAGAGAAATGTGCTCCAAAGTTATGGGAAATTAAGAGCAGCAACATTTCAGTGCCCCTGAAAAGTTGCTACATTATTGCGCAATTCAATTAGGGCGACTTTAAGTCGCCACTTGAACGAAATGAGGTGGGGAAGCGACGTTGGAAAGGTGGGAAAATGTGGGGAAAATGTGGGAAAAATGTGTGAGTGGGGGCCAGCTAAATATGTGGAGGGGGTGGAGCGGGGGGAAGGGGGCGTGGCCAAGTATGGGAGTGGCATGAATGAGCAATTCAGCGAGGGCGTGAAAAGGTTTTCGGAAGTAATTTAAGAAAATGTCATAAGAGTGTGCATGACCTTCCTTCCCATCTCCCCGCTTTTTTTACCCCTGAAGCCTCGGCGTTTTGTTCAGCTGACGCTGTCAAATATTTAACCCTCCTAAAACCCAAGTGACGTATATGCAATATCCTAGAAAATGGCTCATAACTCTTGATTTAATGGAGAAGACATTTTGGCTGGGTTAAAACCCAGGCGAAAGCTTCTATTCAACAGTTTTAAAACGCTTTTTATTAAAAAGGTAAATTAACTTAATAAATTAAGATATCCACCATCAAAGGAATTGTATTATTATTTTAATATCCTTTAATCCTCAATCATCTCGCCAAATGTTCACAGAAATAATGATCCCAATTTCGGTTTTGTTTTCAAGGAAATCTTTTACGAAATTTCCATAACAATTTGGGGTAATGAATCGAGTGAATCTCAATTAGAGGGTTAAGGGTCGCCTGCAGCGACTGCAACTGCGGCAGCGCCAGGTGGCATGTGGCAGGTGGCAGGTGGCAGGACATGCCAGGACATGCCAGGATGGAAGGATGGCAAGATGGAAGGATGGCCGGCTCGAGGACGACACGTTTTTGATGCAACAAAAGATGCCAAGTGTCAATTTAAACAGCCGCACGAGAGTGAAAAAGAGAAGGAACGGGGAGAGAGAAAGGGAAAGAGAGGCGGAGGGAAAGAGAGCGGGAGACGGGTCTCCCAAAAAATGTGCCAGGGGCATCATTCGCTCTCGCTCGCACTCGCACTCTTTTCGTCCTGCTACTTGAAGCTTGAAAAAGCCAACGTTGACAGCGTTTAAGACTTTCTCCATTGTCCTTGCCAGCGCCTTGATGGTTTGACAGGGCAAGGCAACGCCGTCCTCTTCGTCCTGCCAGGACCTGCCTGCCTGTCCTCGCCTGTTGTCTTTTCATATTAAATGCATGGCGAAATGTACAAAAAAAAAAAAAAAAAAACAAACAAAAACAACAACAGCAACAGCACAAAAAAGGACGAGAGAAACGACAGGACGACAAGAGCAGAAGGGAGTGCATTATTGCACATCGAAACTGTGTGCATACTGGACTTAAAAATAATTATATTTACCTACCAAAATGGCTCAATTCCAGTCTCAAAATTGCTTGTTTAATATTTTGCCATAGTGTCTTTATTTTTTACTCACTAAAAATAAAGAATGCAAACTCTTAAATAAACTTTCAAACAAAGAAAGAAAAAAATAAAAACACCTTACCAAAAATAAATGTATAATTTATCACACTAACTAGTACTTGATTGCCGTTCAATAAATCTTTTTTAATCTTAAATTTGTACTTTCCATGTTGAAATCTTTTTAACTCACTTAAAATATAATACCCGAAGCAAGGGTAAATGAAGATACTTAAGTCAAAAAGCGCGAGAGAAATTCGATTTTTCGCCGTCAACTTCCGTTTGTCTGCCCGCCCAATTTGCGCCGTCATCGTGCGATAGTTGCCACTGCCACGGCCTTTTGGCCTCCAACCCGTCATGCTGCCACCGAGCCAGGGTCCCCTCTTCAGTTATCCCCCTCCCATCACCCCACCACCCCCTTGAATGTGCCACGCCCGCACCACATTTGTCGCTCATTATGGGCGCTCATTAGGCGGCGCTAGCGGCATGTCAAGTCTGCAAAGGGGGCGGTCCAAAAAAAAAAAAATATTACAAAAAAAAGTAAAGAGAAAACCAGAGCGGAATGAGAATAGGGTGGGGTGGGGATGGGGGTGGGGGTTTCGAGCCCCTGACCCCTGACCCTTAACCCCTAATCATGCAGAGCAGCGCGCGAGGATAAAGGGCGTAATAACTATATTATGCAGTCTGACTAAGTTATGGCCCCACAAACCAAAGCCAAGTCTGGAATTACGCCAAACGAGTGCGAAGTTTTAACACTTGCTTTGGGCATATGTAGATTTCAATTAAGCTTCATGGGGGAAAATATGGTTTTTGTTTGTCCTTAAATGCATTTTAAAGGCCGAAAGAGCTATATATACTAAATATACTTGCAAAAGTTGTATATTTAAAGTTAATCAGACTTATATAACCTCAAGAAAATCTTTAATATATTTAATAAATATATTTTCTTATTGGAAGTGCCAATAAAAGTATAATTCTCTTGTGCAACTTGAGTGACACTTAAGCCACTTCATGTCAAATTCAAATGGAGCCCCACAAATGTTCGCCCCATAATTTCTTAATATTCTCTGCTTTTACAATATTGTATTCGTCAAAAGCCTCGAGGGGCATAACAAAGGCTAAGGCAACAATTTTATTCCCATCAACATCAACATCAACATCATCATTACCATCTAGGCTACTCATTCGCATGCTCAGCAGCAGCTGTTGCCATCTCTTTCTGTTCGGCATGCTCTATCTCTTTCGTTTAACTACTCCCTGTCTCTGTCGCATCGCATGGCATCGCTCGTTGTCTGGTTGTTGCTGATTTTGCTATTATTACATGCATATTTCGTGTAATGAGTGCGATTAGCATTTTCAATGAAGTGGGGTTAACAATGTGCCTTGCATTTCTAGTTGCCTTTCTGCCGCTTTCTCCCACATTCACCAAACTTTCACCCAGTGGCACTCAAATACTGCTGTTGCCACTGAGATCCCCGCCAGAAAACAGAAAACAGAAAACTCACTCACTCGATGCTCCAAATGGTGCTGCGTCATCAACATAATCATCGGGCATCAACATTTCAAATTGAGCGGCATTATTGGCCCGCCAGTTCGCACATAAGGCTATATACTCGTTTGCCCCGATATCCGCGTACATATGTATATATATATATATGTGTATATGGTCACATATGCCCCCCATAAACAGTCGCTGCATTTGATCAATTGCCAAGCATATTTATGAATTGACAACACTGCGAACAATGGATTTATAATGTTAATTACAGATACAAGATAATTTACACAAAATTATTCAACCACAATGTTTGGCTCACCCATTTGAAAGATAAACTTGAAGTAAATATATTAACAATTGTATAAAAAGCATTAAAGAATCGAAACACGAAGATATAGCTTTAGCAAATTATTAAACAATAGATTTGCACACATATTTATTCCGTGATTCGCGTAATATTTTTACGAGTGTAAATGTACGATTTGCAGTCGCATTTCAGCCATTTCAATCGCTCTCAGCCGCACACATTTCTGGGGGCCCTTTTTTTATGGCCACTTTCCTTAAACCACGCCACGCCCCCTCCTCCCAGCGAACGCGCCCCCGTGAAACAGCCACCAGCTACCAGCTACCAGCTGAGCTTTGTCCTTGCGTTGGCATCTTTAATGTTGCCTACTTTTTTGCGCTCTCCGCTTTTTGTTTGCGGCCAGGATATATGTGCGCATATATATCT